GCGTCGCCGTCTTGACGCCGGGCGGGGCGCTGGTCGGCGTGCCGGCATTGCCGTCAGCGGCGGCAGCGGCCGTGGCGCGAGACGCGTTCGTTGGCAAGGCGATGTACAGCCGTCTGAGTCAGCGTGTCAAGGACGAAATTTACCAGCTTATCCGTTCGGTGCCTGGTCTCAGGGTACGACTGTACGACAGTACGGATTGAGGTAGCGGCAGTGGTGGCCCAACCAACACGCCTTCTGTACACAGCCTATATCTGTCCCGCTTTGCTTAAGCGCCAACGTGATGCCAGCATGAATTTTGTGTTGAACCGATTTACTTAAATGTTATACTTTCAAATTCAAATTCAAATTCGAAGGTTTCATGGTTAATATTCTTAATTTACGGGTCCTGTCTCGTTCCGTGACATCCCGTTCTGGTTCTTACTTTACGTGTTCTTTTGCTAAACACTTCACACAACACACACACACACACACACACACACCACCTCGTATCCGCAGGCAGAGGACTTTGACGACGGTGTACTGCACCAGCTGACCCTCAAAAAAAGCGAGGAGGAAGCTGTCGGTGCGCTCCGTACATTGGCGAGTGAGAATCTGTCCGGCATTCAGCATATGGCCGCCTACATCAACCACATAATCAAGAACTACCACCTGACTGTGGGAACACCCGGTGCAGCTGCAGGTGGAACCACGGCCGCGTCGTTACCCTCAGGTACGGCAGCGGCTGTCGTACACATCGTTTTCGGCTTGTGTCTTGTATAGCTGATGGGAAGGAAAAGGCGGGTGGCGGAGGAGTGCTGTGTTATTGCCGTACGGCGTCGTACAACACGCTGCCGGCCTTGCTTTCCACTTTTCTGGGCGCCCTTGGGGAGGATTAGTGAGGATGCAGAAGAGTTCTGCCATTATCCTTCTATCCGTACGACATGTAAGCATGTGCGTGTGTGTATGGCTTTGCATTTCCCAAAACTTCCCCTGTCCCCCCTTCCCCCTTTCGCCTTCCTTGGATTCCCCACTGTGTGTGCATGATGGGACAAAACGTGTATGGCGGATGGCGGTGGTGTGCTGTACATGTCGCACGGTCGTACAGCAACCGTGCGGGCCAATAGCACTCCCGTGTCGTCCAAGGCCATTCTCCAGAAGCTCCCTCTCCGAGTGTATAAACGGCTTGAGGAGGTGATCAGTCGGTGCTCCTTCATGGAGTGGAAACACTTCGATGCGGGCGTCGTCAAGGTGCGGCGGCGGGTAGTACGGGGAAGGGTGCCAGGAGGTGCTTGAGGAGGAAGGAAAGAGAATATATATTACAAGTTTTATTTGGTTATTTACTTGTTACTATTTTTATTTACTTGTCGCATACATATGTATGTATGTTTATACAATACATATAACATATACATACACACATACACACATAATTTCTTGGCCTCGATATGTCCTTCCTTTGCGTCTTCCTCCGTTTTTCCTTCCCGCGCCGTACTTTCCGCCGTACTACTTTGGGTAGGGATGGGTGGGATTGATGGCGCAGAGAGCTGTCAGATGGAAGGAAATATATAATTAAATATAAACATATTATTTACTGCCTTACACTGAAAGTTATTGCCGTACACTGCCGTACATAATGTTCACTGTAATGCATCATATCCTGCTATTATTGCCGACCGTACATTTAGGTAATGGCGCAGCTGGCGGAGATCGGCGAGGAGGACGTGTTCGAGGAGCTGGAGCTCTTGCAGTCAACGGATCTCTCTAATGTTGAATACATGCCGGCCTACCTGAACAAACGACTAAACAACCGATTGTGGTCGCGACGCAAGATGCTGACGTCAGCAGCTGCAGCAGCGGTTGGAGGTCCGTAAGCCTTGAAGGAACCACACAAGGAAGAGGGGGACGGGAGGAGGGGGCCAGGGCTTCGCTGCCACCGCTGCCACCGCCGCCGTCGCCGTCGCCTTTCTGAGGCACACATGCCATTGCTGCTCGTCGCCGTCGCCACGCGTACGACACATCTCTCTATGTACGCCTTATAAGGGTTCTGGCTAGGCGGCTAACGACTGGGAATGGCGGTAGGTGGTTTGGGGGGATGGAACCGCGAGCAGGGCTGACGCATGAGACGGGAGAAGCGAAGGGGGTTCTCAATGGTGTGTGTTTTTGTTTCAGGTCAGAAGTTAGTTGTATACGTGTTTTGGATTTTTAAGGCCGGCCTTGCGGTCGCGGCGGTTAGTGGTGGTTATGGTTGTGGCGGTTAAGTTAGATCCTCGGACCCATCTGGAACAGACCGACGGCGCAAGAGAACAGACGAACAAGGCCGGGGTTGTCTCCCCAGTACGGCATAACGAACTTTCCAAGGTTTTGCATTCGATTGGCTATCCGACGAAAATTTTTTTCCTTTCCGCTGATGATAATCTTTTAGAGATGTTGCGGCCATGAAAAGTTGGGGAAATCTGAAAGCCCAAAAGATTTTAAAATAAAGGGGATGACGAGTATTTTTAGACATAGCGAGTTAGATGCAACTAATTGATTGCGAGTGGGAAGAGGAAAAGAATCTGTCTTTGGAATTTGCCATGAGAGCTTTTTCTCTTGGTTGAGGCTTATGACTTAGGAAGTTGTTGGAAAAGGTAAAAACTGTGGATGGTACGGATAAATGTCGAGATGCATTTCCGGATGGATAAACCTTGAGATCCATATCGATGAACTTTGAGATCGGAACCAGATGAGGATGTCAGCGATATCGGCAGGGATAATGCACGAGAGATTGGACCTTCTACCCGGTAGATTCCTTCCTTTTCCGGAACGCGGTGAAGTCCATGGTGAAGCCTCACATGTTGGATCTACACATAAACAGAGGGCAAAGGAGGCGTATGAAGGAGGTGTGTGTCAAGGGAAAGGCGCTGTTGGAAATGGTCTTGCAGCGCCAGTGGACGGCCGCGACGGCGATGGGGCGGGGAAAAAGTGGACATGGCAACTCTGTTGCGCGCGCGCGAGAGGGCGGCAGTTTAGCAGCGTAAGGCATGTCAGCACACGTCAGCATAATCAATACGTCAGGAGTGGAGGAGAAGAAACGGCGTCGCATGGTCCCTCAGCCCCATCGTTTCACCAACCTCGCCAACTACTTCGTTTTCCGATGGCGAACCAAATGCCTTCAACGCTCTCACATTGGTTTTCTCCGTTGTCATTCTTGTTTTTTTAAAATAAATATTTGAGCTTCAAAGGCTCAAAATAGACCGACATATAGTGGTTCGTTGAAGAGACAAGCCAACCGTTTTGTAAAGACGCGTAACGGTCGATCGGTTGGATCTTCGGAGTGGTACCGCGCTTTGGCCGCTTCCGTTTTCTGGCCGGCAGCTTTGCCGGCGGCCGTGTGTGTGTAGAAGGAGGGAGAGAGGGGAGAGCGGAGAGGGAGGGAAGTAGGCGCGAAGGGAGGGGGATGTATTGTCGGGCCGGACATGTGCCTCAACGGGAAGGCCGAAGAAAGGAATTCCGGCGTTGCGTATGTCTGCCTGCGTGTGCGTGTTCGTGTTTTCATTGAGTCCGTCGCTCCCAAACGGGTGAAAAGGCACGCAAAATTGTACTATATCATTTTCTTCTTCCCAGTTGTACATTATCATTTTCGTGCAGTACCGACGTGAGGTGATTGTGGTGGATGTTCCAAAATCGTATCGTAGCGTGTTGAAGAGGGGGGACTCAGTCGTACCTGTCGTACCGCTGTCAGCCGTTCGGGTCGCGGAAGGAGACTCTGCCGTACAGCCTGTCCGAAGTAAAGTTTTGCCGTACATCTATCACTGGCTTGGTGCGGTGTAGTGGAATGCTGCACTCCCTTACATGCCGTACAGGTTGTTAAGGGAGAGCCTGAGAAACCCTCTGAAATTTCCGTAACGGAAGTTACAGATGTTTGTTGTGTGCGGGCAATGCCACAACAAATATGATGCTGCGAAATCCACCAGGCAAGCTAAGCAGGCAAATTAAGTTCAGGATTCAGTAGAAGAACTGGGGATCATCAAGGGGAGGAAGTGTTTTGGAGTGCACCAGCTTGTTTTGTGTCGTACACATAGCGACGGCTTAGGCAGTACGGCAGGGTCAGGAGATCATTTACGGGTACATCAGGGTTGCCTCTGAGGCCATCAGGGTGGTGGGGGTTGAGTGTTATCTGCTGTGTTTTGATGCGCGTGTGTCTTTCAACTGAAAGCATTGCCGTATGCAGATTTCGGCACGTATGTATGTACGTATGTATGTATATATGTATGCATGTATGTATGCTTTTGTTAGAAGGGAGCGATGCCTACGCCAAAACCGAGGTGTGACGCTTGGCCGACGAAAACGGACATTCCAAGGTGGTAATTTTTATTTATACTTCAGAGCGCTACAAGCCCTTCGAGTAGCGCAATTAGGTGTCGGAATCTCGGAATGTGCAGGTTATTAGCTGTTGATTGCATACGGGTTCGGGGCCGATTTGGCGCAGTGCGCAGAAGCACTACCGCAGAAGCAATACAGCAGTAGTAGCCAGCAAACTGCTGCTGTGACACAATTGTTTTCGGTTTGTGGATGCGGGTGTGGGTGAACGGATCGTTGGGTCTCCTATGGACATGTGGAGGACGTACAGGAGCCATCATTAGCAAATTGGTCAGGAGCGCGGACTTTAATTTTCTTTCCTTTTGTATCAATACTTCACAACATGTCACAGTGCGGACTTGGGAAAGAGTGGAAACAGGAAAAAAAGTCGTATATGGGCACTCTGGACATGAGATCACATGATATCACTTAAATCATGGTGTGGTTGCTTTTTTAACACCTACAGTATTCAATGTAGGTGCTAGCGTTCGCTGGAACCCTGGGTTTCACATTTTTTAAAAATGTTCTATGAAGGATTTGAACCGGAAATCCTAGAGCGATTAGCATGGGGTCTCCTGTTGTCGTGGCTGCTACAAATTCTCAAAAACATCTGCTGCTGGGAAGCGGATATTCTTTGCGGGAGCAAAGAATTGTCGGACCAGCTTGGAGATTATTAAGGATGCGAAGCACGAAAACGCACGCGCAGGGATACGAGGTGTTAATGGCGGTCTGATGTAATTTTTATCGGAACCTTCGACACATAGTCGCTTCCCGGATAGCGCAAAAGCCTTCTCTCTTATCTATCTCCTCCCTGTTACGCTCCGGAACCGCACATCTTCGGCGACGCAGTGGGCCACGAGTCTCTAGGACCTCTTAGGGACCTATTCTTCGAGTCATAACAGGCGTTTGAACATCATTTGGCATTTCGGTGTCTCACTTTGCTGTAAATTTCACTTCTTCAGCGGACAGTCGGCGCAAGTCGGCGGTTTCTCGGGGCTGCTATGCATCACCTGCATGGGTTGGTTGTGATGAAGATGTGAGAGGTGCTATTAGACTTTTCTTCCCGCGCGATGTTTGAATGACATTTCGAGGAAGTGCGCGCACGTTGAGGGGTGTGCGCCGAACTTGGGACGTGTTGAAATACATCCGGGAGCGTCGTTCGAGGTATCGATGTATGAATGTAAGTACATACGTATGTAAGTATGTACACCTTTGGAAAGTAACGCAACTTAAGGTGTAACACACACATGTACGTATGTACAGATGTCTGTACATGACTGTACGTGTGGCACTGGTAGTTGTTGTAGGGGAGTTTTGTCCATCGTTTTGAGGGAGCTGGGGGATGAATGACCAGTTTTGCTTCCTGCTAGCAGCCTAGCACGTTTTTCACTTTTTTGAGGCGAACGAGTATAAATGCATCGGAATATTTCCGACAAACAACAAAGCAAGGTGATAAGGAAAAGAGCGATAATGGAGCAGTTTCTGCTGCTGCTGCTGCTGGTACGTTTTACGGATGAGGATGAGAAGGAGGGCGGGAGGGAGTTAGAGAAAGGGAAGAAGGCATAAAGGAAGAGAGAGAGAGAGAGAGAGAGAGAGAGAGAGAGCATATTTTGGAGGACGGCGTGGTGGACTGGCCGAGGGTTTGTTTGACTTTGGGGGGCGTCAGGGTACGGCTGTACGGCGAGAGTCGTACGGCGCGCATATACGGCCTCGAAGCCCGACACCTCAACTCACCTGTAATGGCAAGCTGCCGTACCGTTTGGCGGCTGTGCCGCTTGGCGTTGCCAGCTGTTTATATAGCATAGTTAACGGTTGGGAGCTGCACTGGGTTTGGAGAGTCATGGAGCCATGTCATGTCCCGCTCACCTCGGATCGTATGTGTACGACCTAGCACACCTTTCCACACACTCCCGCTGGCCCCCTACTTCCAGCTCTCATCCGAGATTGAAGAGCTGGAGCGAGATTTTCAAACTAAACTCTGAAGGAGGAAGGGAGGGCTCGTGCCGCGAAGGGCCGCTAAAGTGCTGTATTTATCTGTAGCTTTAAATCGACGCAGTAGTCGGGACGGTACGGCACGTTATCATGTGCCGTACACGGATTGATGGAAGCGGTGGTTGCGTATGTATGTATGTATGTATGTATGTATGTATGTATGTATGTATGTATGTATGTACCATTAGATGTACTTCAGGCACAGCATCGGAGAAAGAAGCTTTTGTTGCTTTTGCAGTGTTGGTGGTTGGCAGTGGTTCGTGGCGTCAAAACCCTATTGCCATCATCATTATCATCACTGTGAAGTGGCACGTTTTTTAATGTGTGTTCGTGCATATTGTAGCTCTGCAAGCTCTGCATTTTGGCAGTTGCGGGTTTTAGTGGCTGTAGCCTCATCATCAGGGTGACGGTTGTACGGCAACAATAACGTCGCATATCTAGTCCGAACCAGCAAACCTATAACAACAATTCTGTATCTGATATATGTGTGTATATATGCAGTATGTATTTACAAAAAGCACGCATGTACGGGTGTCGTACGTTTGTGTGCCGGACTAAAGGGGGCTTGGAATGCGCGCACACATCCACATAGACATACATACACAGGCACATATCAATTGGGAGCGGCAGACGCATTATAACAGCATTGGTAGAAGCATTAAAGCAGCAGCAGCATCGTCCGGCGATATGCTTGGCACGGCGCCACCGCCGCTGCCGCTCAATCCCGAAGATGCTTGGGAGACCTCCATGACGTCCTTTTTCGTGCCCTCGCCATTCCCCGGTGTGTCTGTCTGTGTGTCTGTGTCTGTGTGCATGTGTCTGTGTGCATGTGTCTGTATGTATGTGTGTCTGCTTGTTTGCAAACGCACGCGTATCCTGCACAACTTGTGCGGTTTGGCTGCCAGCTTATCTGTGTCTGTAGGTATGTATGTCACGCGTAGTCGGGTGGTTGTACAATTTAAGCTTTTAAATCGTACAGGAAATGACAGAAACGAGGTAACGGCGGCGTGGGCTGCGATTTGCACTAACCCCCGTATCCCGGTTGGAACTATAGAAGGCTGCTTTCTAAAGCCGCATGTGTGTCTGTTTGTACGTATGTTTACATGTACATTAGCGGACAGACAAACGAACTGACGCCTAGGTCGGTGGGAAAAAAGTCCACAACTTTTATTTGTCCCATTTGAGTGGTAGAGGAGGCGAACGGGATAGGGCCTTATGACATTTCCACTGCGGGGTGTGGCACAGGGGTTTCGGGGCTATTCCTGACGGGTCCGAAGCGTACGGTGTGCATTCCTAGCTGCGTGTTAATGGGTATGTGTCTCCCGTCATTTCGGCGCCTTTCAGCCTTCAGCCTTTTCGCTCCTCTTCCGTTACACGCACAGCGCATGCACCACATTCACAGATTCGTTCGTTCGCGTTCGTTCGTCTTTCCGTACCCTGTCGCTCGAAGATCCACCCACATGGCGCCTGCCGTATTGCCGCACTTTGTTTTACTCGTGCGAACGGTAATCGTCTGTGGTTATATTCTCCTCTCGCTGGGCCAGTAGTCCACAAAGGGGTGGGCACCAGAACGCGTGTGTGCAGGTGTATGTATGTATGTATGTATGTATGTATGTATGTATGTATGTATGTATGTATGTATGTATGTAAGTATGTATGTATGTATATATGTATGTATGTATGTACAGCATACGTCCTCACATTGATTATCGTACATTGGACATGCATGTCGTACGCTTCCTCGCTCGTGGTGCACGTCTGGAGGTGGACAACTTGGTAGTCCTGATCTGGGGTTCAGACGTAAACTCTTCCGACACTCCCACTGCCGCTCAGAGGTTATTACTTAAACAGTTTAAACATAAAGCCTTTCCGTTGTACATGTTTGCGATGTTTTCGGGACTCCGTAAAAAAATGTGTCGTTCTTGCTTACTGCAAGCTCTTCAAAAGCTTCGTTCACAGAATGTAATTTAATAATTTTCCCGCTCACATAAATAATGTCACGATCAATAAGTAGCCACTGTAAAGCATTACGGTGGAAAATAGGTATATAGGCTGCGTCCCCAAGCCGTGGGGACCTCTGCCGGTTGGGGAGGGCCCTTTGTACCGGGGCTCTCTCCCCTTGGAACTTGGGGAGCCTGAGAATCTCCCCAAACGATTTTCCCTGGGGAGCATTTCGCCGTGGCTGAAACGCCCTCACCGGACGCGCCCGACGAGTTAGGGAAGGTCCAGGAGTGACTCGCACCGCCGAGCGCCGTCGATTTCCTGCAATCCCAGCGACCTCCCCAGCGGCGCCCAGCACCATACCAGTTTGTACGGCATTTACACCCACAGTCCTAAAGCACCGCAACATTCCTCAAGACAAAATTTGAATATATGTCAGCGTCCTTATGGAGGATATTTTCCGTGTTCACTTCCAAAAGTCCCAACACCAACTTGACTGACCATTCACCCAACTGACCGGTTCAGATAACTGCTACTGCTGCTACTGCTGCTGCTGCTGGCACCATCACCGCAAATGACTTCTCCGCCATCACGGCCACCTGCACCCATACCGCCGCCAGTTTTACTGCTAATGCTGGCATCAACAAGCTGTTCTTGTAGTTGTTGTAGTTGTTCTTGATGTGGCTGGGTTTGTTCGTGGAGCTGCCATGGGCGGGCTGTTCCGGCTACTTGAGCCTGAGTGTGGTGTCGGACAGTGTTTTTCTTTTCAATTTTGCCGGTGAATTTTCTATTCCGAACGGAGGAATAGGTTTTTAGTCGCGGGAATAAAAGTATTCCGAATCTGTAAGGCGCTGG